TAACGGAGAGGAAAACTTCTCAAATAACTGATACGAAATTCTAGCCTAAATGATATTAAAATATCGATTCAAAAAAGCTTTGTGACCCCGATGGTCACAGATATAGCCGTAACCGACAAAGGATGCATTCGGCGGTCTCATCGGAAACAGTGGAACATTGGAGATCCAGATTACACGAGCAACTGCACACCGTTCTAAGTGATGATCCTTCCGGAAAACGAAACGAGAATATGGCTTATGTGCACCTAAACCACACCCGTAGTGAAAAACAAAAGTGGCACACCGTTGTGAATGTTCATAGTCAACAAATTACAAATTAGAAACGTTTGCCACCTTTGGGGGCTGGTTTGTTCACCTTCTTGGCAGCTTTCTGTTTCTGCTGAACTGGAACAGTCTGCTTCTTCTTCAGCTCGGCCTTCTTTGACTTGCGCTCGGCCTCCTTTGCCTTCTGCTTCTCCTTTATTGCCCTCATAGCCTGTTCGCGCATAGCTTTTCGGACTTCGGGCTTCTGGTTTCGCTTGGCCATGATTTCTGTCAAGCTAGCGCCAGCAATAGCGCGCGCGGTCTTCGTTACGCGTTTCGTGCGTTTTTTAGTGAGCTCCTCTACTGCACCCTTGCGATACTTTCGTCTGTAAAGGACGGTCCAATTCACTTCACGCGGATTCCGCTTGAGGTAGTGAGACCGCTCGCATTTCGAGCTAAGGAAGTAGAAATGACGACCATCTCCTCTAATAGCGCGTTTTCCGTGGCCTGGGTAGACCTTGTATCCACTGTACGAGCAGATTTCCAACCTAAAATGATTTCACAAAGAAAATCAGCCTGCATATAATACACTTTATGCTACCGGACATTGCACAACCTAATTCGGACAACATCTGTGACAGCAAATGCAGTCTACCACCTGCGCACTGAAAAAACTGTGGGATTTCCACCTAAAACGCAAGTAGGCAGCACCACATTTGTGACCGAGCTATCCAGAAAAGTAGAAACATCTGTACTACATTTTCAGCAAGTCTAAATGCAGTTTTTGACTGTTTAAACGAAATGCCGAATGATACACGCACTTTGCTATAGAAGAGGCAACTACGAAGTTAATAGCAGTGGCTGACCCTAATCAACTAACACAAGGATCAGATATAATCCTTACTTTAAAGAATATTTAAAGTTGGGTTTATGCGATAGTACCTACACGGTAAAAAAAATTTTGAAAATCGATTAAGCAGTCATTGAATGTTTGCGACAGAAGTGATATTGTTAAATTGCGCCATGGGAACCTGGCAATTAGACGTCTACCGAAAGCAACCAAATCGTAAAAGAATAAACTGGGTGGAAAAAACTTTTGAACTTCGATAAAAAC